GTAATGTAAGTATCTTTTTGTTTTCCGATGGTCTTAGGCGACCCCTATGAAAGGGTCGTTCGACCCCCAAAGGGGTCATGACTCACAGGTTGAGAACCGCTGTTTTGTGGTATTGTTGTCATTCATTCTAATTCTATATAAAATTCCCACAGTGCATTGCAATTATTTTGCTTTTATATTTACTTTTTTTTTATCACTTCTAGAGCTATTTTTCTTTGTGTAGATTCAAATTTCCATCTGCTATCATACTCTTACTGCCTGAAGAACTTCTGAAGAACTTGTTTTAACAACATTTCTTGTAATGAGAGTCTGCTAGAAATGAAAAAAAAAAGCTTTGTTTGCTTTTACTTTTGAGAGTTATTGTAGCTGGGTATAGAATTCCGGATTGACAGTATTTTTTTCTTTTACTACTTCAAAGATGTCACTCCATTATCTTCTGGCTTAGAAGCTTGCTATAACTTTTATTCCTCTGCATTGTGTCATTTTCTCTGCCTTCAAGAGTTTCATTTTATATTCTGTTTTCATTAATTTTAGACAATTCTCAGCTTTATATCTTAATATATTTCCTCTGCCTCATCTTCCTCTCCCCTCCTTCTGAGACTTCAATTTTATTCGTGGAACCACTTGATATTGTTTCACAACTCTTGCATGCTCTGATTTTTCAAAAAATTATTTTCTTGCCTTGTGTTTCAGTTTGTCTAATTTATTTTTTTTTAAAAGATTTTATTGGGGAATTGGGGAGGGAACAGCGTTGGGGAATCAGGGAAGAGGAACAGACAAGTTGCTGTCCTTCACTGGCCCATGTTGGTATTATCATTGCGCTCTTCCTGGGTGAGGCAGTCACTCGGCGGCCATTGGATGGCCGCTCACAGGGGCTCACAGCAGTTCATGAGAGCTCTGAAGGCTCACAACCGCTGTCAGCTAGCCTTACTGCAGCCTGCACCATTGCCGGTGACTCACGGCAGCCCAGCTCCAGGTGGAGCTGTTGTTCACCATCTTAGCTGTAGAGGGCACAGCATCACTGGCCCTCATGTGGAATCCGAACCGGGGCCCTGCTGCTCAGAGCTCGCGTCCCAATCCAACTTCTAACCAACACGTCTCTCGGCCAGCCCCAGTTTGGCTAATTTTTATTTACCTCTTTTCAAGTTCACTGTTTCCTTCTTCAGCTCTGCCCAGGTTTTGATAAGCACATTGAAGCAATCCTTCATATCTAATAATTTATTTTTAATTTCTAGCATTTCATTTCACATTTTTAATAACTTCCATTTCTCTGCTGAAATTCCCTATAAATTCACACATGTTGTCAACCTTTTCCACTAGATCCTTTAACATATTAATCATAGTTCAACATCTGGGTCATTCCTGAATCTGGGTCTGTTGATTGCTTTAGCTTTTGATAATGGATTTTTTTCCCCTGCTTTTTTTGATGTCTTATAATTTTTTATTGTATAATGGATATCATGTGTAGAAGAACAGTAAAGACTTAGGTCAATACTATTTATACCCAGAAATGGGCATGCATTTTCTGTCAGATCAATAATGTGGGTGATTGAGTCAATTTAGGCAGGAGTTAAGCTGGGTTCAGGTTTTATTGTTGTTATCATTACCTTTGGTGTACCACAAGATTCAAATTCTTCTGCTGTTACCTTGTGCTTAATGTTGGTCCTGGGATGCTGGAGAGTTTTTCCTCAGTGTCCCTCAGGTTTCACCAGTTTTTTGTATGGTTGTGTTACAGAGGGGAGTCTCTTCCCACATTCTTTCTCCTCCTTAGCAAAAACTAGTGTTGCTTATTACTGGTGCTTGGCTTGTAGCAGGGCAAAGGGGCATACCCCTGGTCCAGCCTTGGTCTTTGTAGGTCTTGTGTACCTAAGCCTTCAGGGTGAGGCGTTCTCAGCATTTCTGCCCCTCTGACCCATTGCTGCCAAATCCCACCTTGTGTCCAATATGCGGAGTGAGAAAGGGTTTCCTAGCAATACCCAACCTTTACTTTGTATCAGTTCAGGACACTGAGCCCCAGTGTTTCCTGCTGCTTCCCCAGGGGTAGAGGATTTGTGCTTCTCTCTCTCTCCCAGAAGCAGTGGATATTTGCCATGGCCCTGGTGGGGTAGTGTTTTCTGCCTCTGCGCTGGTGGCTTAAGGTTTTCATATGAGAGAGGTTTAGGCAAATTAGGAGAGGTTTCTTGATTGCCCCCCAATGATAGAACTATCACCTTCTAATATTCTTGTTATCTCTGGAAAAAATATTATTGCTATCCCATAGAGAGGAATGGTGTTTCAATTTAGTTTCTTTACCATTATTTTTTAAGGATGTACTACATGAATAACACTTTAAATATTAACCTAGTATACTGTTGCCTGCTCTATTTCTCTACCAGATACATCTTCAGGAAAACACATTTGTTATTTCAAGAATCTGTGTTTCTTTTAGTCACTTTCCATAGTACCATGCAAAATTAAACTAAATCAAAATGAATGTGGTTAGGGAAAAAACAAACATTGTGCAAGAGGTAAGTGTACACCTCACACTTTGATCCATAGCTCTGCTGTTTCTCTGGAGACAGTCTGCAGGGCCAGACAAGGTGGGAGTTCAAGCAATAATAGTTTACTTGTAAAAAATCATCCCCCAAAAGACTCCCTAACAAGGAGATTTCTTAACTTTCTAAAAGCATATATGGGTATGAACTTTCTAAAAGCATATATGGTGCCAGAGGTTTGAGAGCAGTTGGTTAATCCTTACTTTGAAGCCAGAGCAAATCTAGTGAGTACTACTCTGACTTTTAGGGAAAATGAAGCTAAGCTATATTTAGAAGGTGATTACTGTTACAATTGGGTTCTCTGAGGTACCTCAGCAGACCAGAATTAGAAAAGAGGAAATGACCTATTATAGTAAATGTTTAGTGTGAAATATTGAATCATATTAATGGATTTCCCAGGCATGAGGAGGGTCTGTTCTAAAAATAAAAAATACAGTATAATATTATTTAAGGCTCCAAGTTTTATACTAATTATCAATAGTAAGGCCATTCAAGGTATTTTCCAGTTCTACTGAGATATAATTGACATATAATATTGTGTAAGTTTTAGGTGTACAACATAATGCTTTATGTATATATTGCAAAATGATCAAAATAAGTTTAGTTAACATCCATCACCTCACAGTGACAATTTTTTTGTGTGTGATGAGAACTTTTAAGATACTCTTAGCAACTTTCAAACACACCATGCAGTATTGTTAACTTTAGCCTCCATGCTGTGCATTACATCGCCACAACTTATTTATCTTGTAACCAGGTATTTGTACCTTTTGATCACCTTCACCCATTTCACCCAACTCCCTCCACCACCTCCCTCTGGCAACCACCAATCTGTTCCTTATCTTTTTTTTTTAACTGTAAGCTAATTTTAAGGTATAATTTTATATTGGTGAGGGGGACATTTTCCAGTCTCTTTAGACAGAAATGTGTGTATGAGCTTAGACATACAAGTTATACTAGACAAATTGCCAATTCGTTATTGCTTGCTACAAACAGAAATAAAATGAAAAACAAAAAAGAAAAATAAATAAACTGACTTTGATTTATAAAATGGTAAGTTCTATATATAGAGAATTCCAAAGACTCCACCAAAAAACTGTTATAACTGATAAATGCATTTAGTAAGGTAGGATACAAAATTAACATTCAGAATCAGTTGCATTTGTACACACCAATAATAAACTATCAGAAGAAGAAATCAGGAAATCAATCACATTTACAATTACTATAAAATGGGAATTTGCTGAAGTGCCTCCTCTTTCACTGGTGAGAGCTCTGAGAATTGAACCCTAAAACCTCTCAAGTCATGGGTATGGCAAGTTTTAAGCAAAATTCACAGAGGAGCGGGGAGATTGGTGGGATGTGTCCCAAGCGTCTGGAGGAGAGAACCAGGCCACGAGGGTCCTGGAAAGAGCTACCAAAGCCTTACAGGCCTTGGCCAGCAGTGCCCAGCGAGAGGAGGCGGAGCATCAGGCCGACTCCTCCTTCTCTGCCCCGGGGAGGCGGGGCCTCACCCCACTTCGCCCCGCCCCCTCACCCCCTCTAGACCACGCGCCATTTCTGGTACTCTAGGCCCAAGCGGCTCCAACTCTCTTGCCTCGCCTGACGGCGCGGAGCTGAGCCCCGGGCGGAATGAGGCCACTCCCGGGGCCGTGGTGGCAGCTGCTCTGGCTGCTGCCCTCTGCCACACTGCACGCAGGCGCGGTGCGCGGGGAGGAGGCGGTCGCGGCGGCGTTGTCAGGTAACCGTGGGCACGGCGGCGCGCGCGCGCACTCCGGGCTTCTAGGCTCCTGGGTTTCCTGGGCACCGCGAGGGCGCTCCTCTTGCCCAGGTCCGCGAGGACCAGGGAGCCGGGTGGGCGCTTTCCTGCCTCACGTAAGACTCACCCCTCGGGCGCGGCCTGCAGCCGGGGCAGGCCCACCCTCCGTTTCCGCCTGCCTGGGCTTCCCTGATCTCTGCTGACACAAGGACATTTTATGATTTTAGGTCTGAAAGCAATCGCAAAATTCAGAGCCTGGCCCCAGTTCCCTTGTTTTACAGAAACCTCAACCTAAGCTCAGAAATGTTTTGATTTGTCCACAGCTACAGTTAGCCACTGGCATAGCTTTTATATGGTACATCCATTTATGTTGAAAACTTTATACGTCTCTATTCCTTTGGCTTCAAGACTAGACAAGGTGAGGGCTTCGGCTTTGGAATCTGACTGAAATTCCCCTGTCCCTGACTAGCTCTGTGATCTTGAGCGAGTCACGTTACCGGTCACATAAAACACAGATAATAATAACTCAAGGGATTATTGTGTTGTTTAACGTGTACAATGCATGGTACTAGGAAACAAGAAATGGTAGCTGCTCATAGTGTTGTTATGGTTTATCTGCAATGCTCTCAAGATCCTGGCACAGAAGGGGAAGTCGGGAGTTCTAACTCCAGAACTGCTACTAATTTGCTATAAGTTTGACATTTCTATTTCATTCTCCCCGCCCATAAAACCATTTAAAAGATTTCCTGGAATCACTGTGCACCGATTTCTCTTCATTTCATTGGCCACCTCTGATTGCAAGGGAGGCAACCAAGTGTGGTTTCTTTGTCTAAGGATGAAGGCAATTATCAGATTTTGCCACAGCTGCCAACTCAGAATCACCTTCAGGAACTATTCCGCACCAGTTTTAATTGAACATTTGTTGAGTATTTACTATATGTTAGGCAGTGTTAAAAGTACTTTAACTGCATTCTTATTTAATACCTGTAGTAGCCCTGTGGGAGGGTAGGTAGCATTTATAAACCCATTTTTTTTTTTTAAAGATTTTTTTATTGGGGAGTTGGGGGATGGGAACAGTGCTGGGGAATTGGGGGAAGGGGAACAGACAAGTTGCTGTCGTTTTGTTCTTCAGTCTAGTTGTGGAGGACGTTGCTTCACTGATCTAAGTTGGCACCATCATTGCGCTCTTCCCCGGGCGAGGCAGATCAGTAGCCGGCTTCTGGACGGCCGCTCACTGCAGCTGCTGGCCGCTCACTGCAGCTGCTGGCCGCTCACACTGGCTGCTGGCTACACACGGTAGCCAATGGCAAGCCAGTGCCACAGGGGCTGCAGCCTACGCCGTCGCCGGTGACTCACGGCAGCCCAGCTCCAGGTTGAGCTGTTGTTCAGCATCTTAGCTGTGGAGGGCAGTGTCACTGGCCCTCATATGTGGGATCCGAACCGGGGCCCTCTGGCGTCCCAAGCCAGCTCTTAACCAACGCTCCACTCGGCCGGCCCTATAAACCCATTTTTACAGACGAGGAAATGAAAGCTTAGTAGGAAGAAATGTGATCAGTATATACTGAAGAAAAAGTAAACCACAGATTTGTCTAAGAAGGGTTTCTGAGAATGGCAACAACCAGAAAATTATAAATACTCCTGGATAAACACCCAGAACCTTGAGTTCTACCTGGTTCAGTCTTTACATTCAACAACCCACTTGTAGAATTAACCATGATCCAGGCACATAACCTTTATGGATTATACAGGTATAATCAAACAATATAGTGAATGTTTAAATTTTAAAAATATATTACAGTAAAAGACACATTGCCATTAATCCCCTTCAAAATACTCCCCCTTGCTTATCCCATCATTCTTGACACTTTCTGAAGCAGTTCTGGAAGTCCTCGTTCACGAGTGTCTTTAGTTGCGCTGTTGTGGCTGCCTCAATGTCCTGAATTGATTCAAAACATTTACCTTTCATGGTCATTTTGACTTTGAGGAAGAGCCAGAAGGCACATGGCACCAGATCTGGTGAATGAGGTGGATGAGGACACACCGTAATGTTTTTATTTGACAGAAATTGCCGTACCAGAAGCCATGTGTGATACGGAGCCTTGACTTATGATCATAAAATACAGTGAATGCTGCTGCTGAGTGCCATCCAATGGAAAGGCAGGAATCTTTAATACGGGAAGCCGTGCCTCGAACCTTAGTAACAGTGTGTGGCAAGTTTCAACTTGTTTGGTGCAGTCATTCGGGTGTGAGCTACAGTTGAGAGAAGGTGTGTTTTATAAATCATCCTCCATCATGACAACGCACCATGTCACACATCGTTTCTGGTACACAGCAATTTCTGTCAAATAAAAACATTGTGGTGTGACCTCATCCACATTATTTACTTGATCTGGCTCTTCTCCAAAGTCAAAACGATTCAGAACATCGAGGCAGCCACAACAGCACAGCTAAAGACACAAAAGAAGACTTCCAGAACTGCTTCAGAAAGTAGCAAGGACGATAGGATAAGTGTGATTTAAGCAAGGGGGAGTACTTTGAGGGTGGTTAATAGCAATGTGGCTTTTACTATAAGAATTTTTTAAAATTTAAACAGTCACTGTATTTTTTTTTCATACCTCTTAGTTTTCTCATCAATAAAATGAAGATATTCTTATTGCTGAATAGTTTCTAATGTTTTCCTCACCTTTTTGTTTGCCTCAATGAACCCAGTGGTTTTCAAGTTTTTGTGTTACCAGATTTAGTGTTAACAGTTCACGTCTCTATTTTGTTAATCAAAGGCAAACACGAATGCCTATCAGAGCTATGTTCTGCCTGAAGCATGCATCATGCCCACTGAGTTGATAAAATTCTGGCCTGTAGTTTTAAGAAAAGGCAATTTCTGATCCTTATAGCAACATTGTCATTCCAGCTAGGCTTTACAACAAGGACTATGAAGTATCCTGGATCCTGTGGTATACCAACGACACTGCTGAAACCTCTGGAAGACACAAAAGTCTAAGAACCGTTGGCTGCTCTTAAAAGTCTTAGTTTTTTGTTTTTTGGTTTTTTTTAGCTGAGCCATTCTGCTACCTATTGGAAGCTCAGCAGCAGCTCAGCTCAGGCCAGGACTTGAACCGCTGTTGCTCAGAGCTCACACTCTTGAGCAAGCTCTTAACCAACTGAGCCACTTGGCCAGCCCTTATTCCATCTCAAACACACACACCCTGCTGTGGAATGGAGAACATCCAGACCAAGGCCAGCTTTCTGTCACCCTGTGTCATCCTATCTGGAGGAAATTCAGAGGCAGTTGACACACAGGAGGGGCAGGTAGCTGTCTGGCTGAAAGGAAGAGTCTTCAAGCCAAGAGTTACCATGGTTTGCAGCTAGTGGGTGAGGTTCCTAGAAACCATGTGTTGTCCTGTGAGGAAGTTAAGGCCACTGCATTGAAGCTTGAACTATAGCAATAGGCCATTTGAAACCACAGCTTTCAAATTCATCTATGGAAAAAAATCAATACTTAAAGTCCTACCTGAATATGCATTAGCATGGACTAATTTCAGTTTCATTCTCTATGCATGTTCTTAGAGAAATAAAAATTAAGATTTATATGCAAGTCATAACAACAAAAAAAAACTAGGGTTAGTAGAATAGAGAAGTTACCTTTGTAACTTTGGTGCTACTTGCTAATTCCTTTGACAATGAATTTACATAATCCCGGAAAAAAACCTTTTTCCTTTTGAATTTTCAGGAGTTAAGATTTGTTGGTGTTTTGCTTTTTGTTTTTCCTATTCTTCCCTTTCCCCTTCCTTGCCCCAAAAGAAAAGCGGTTATAGGAGAAAATGGCAGTCTAATTTAATAAGTAATTTTATTATTCTGTTATAGTTTCAACTGTAGATATATTTTTTCCCATATGAGGGCCATGTAAGGTTAAATTATCAGGTGGAACATTGCTGAATTATTTCTATGTTGGAGTTTAATATCTGCTAATATTTGAGGAGTGTTTGTGCTTTTTATTTTTAGCATATTCTATAAGTAGGTTTAAGTACTACCTGCCCTTTTCTGAAGTTTTGACTGAATATTTTTATCTTATGTTTAAACTCTTTAACTTAAATATATTCTTATACATTTAGTAAAACTAATAAATGACAAAAGAACTACAAAGGACTAGTTTTAAATTTATTAGTTAAAGTAGATAATATGCAGCTGTCCCTTTTTAAATATGATGTATAGTCTTAGATTAATTCAATATTTATAAATTGAGTGGTATTTAAAACGAACTAAGGGATCAGTTTGGTGAAGGTAACCCTGACTCGAATCTTTTGATAATGTGAATAATTGTGCTTTGTCTTAGCAGTTGGGGCACAACTGTCAGAAATAGACTGTTCTCCAGAAGACGGGTTTATTGAAATGATCAAGACAGCCTGCCAAGGACTGCAGAGAGTTAAGGAAGGGATGCTCATTCCATGCCTTAGAGATGCAGCCTTGCTGAGGTAGCCATAGTAAGGATAGCATTCAGGGCTGGTCCCCAGATACTCCTAAGTGCATGGGAGATGAGCCCGAGTTGGGATAGCCCACACTTCAGGGTAGAGACCTATTTCAGCCCCAAGTGGAAGCCGTAGCTCTCCTTAGGCAGCTATCCTCTTTTTTTTTAAGATTTTTTTATTGGGGAATTGGGGGAGGGGAACAGACAAGTTGTTGTCCTTCAGTCTTAGTTGTGGAGGGCGCAGCTAGCTCAGCTCCAAGTCCGGTCGCCATGCGGCCGCCCATCGGCAGCTTGCGGCCACTCAGCTCAAGGTGCCGTGTTTAATCTTAGTTGTGGGTGGGTGTCGCTCACCATCCCATGTGGGAGTCGAACTGGCAGCCCTGTTGCTCAGAGCTCGCACTCTTAACCAACTGAGCCACTTGGCCGCCCGCAGCTATTCTCTTCTGACCAAATGAATGATTATTGCATTTTTAAGAATCCCTGGAAATCCCCATTTGTCTTCTGGATTGCATTGTAAGAGGATTTTTTTTGATACTGTGATATATTTGGGTTTACCTACATCTACCACCAGGAAGTTCTATCCTAGAGAAATGAACCAGCAAAGACTGAGGCCGCATGAATAAAAAGACACCTGCAATCAGGTATTCAGGTTCACAGCCTTCAGTGTCAGGGCTTGAACAGGTGACAGAGTTCAGATAAGCAGTTAAGCTGGCTACATTTTCTATTTCCCAGCCTCAGGTGGAGATAGAGGAAGTAGAAACTGAATAATGAAATGTCTCTAAAAGAAGATTGCTGAAGGGAAGAGAGGCCTAGGAAACACATAACCTTTATAAACAATCTAAGATAAAAAGATCTGGTTCTCTCTAGGAAGGCAGTAGGCCAGCCGTGATAACAATCTTGATTGTCACCCGTCATTGTTTTACGCCTCCTCCAACTAGCCTATGGCTTAAGGTTCACATGCATTCACTTGGAGTAAGGCTTGTGGCTTCCTGTGGCTGTGAGTTTCTAGTTTCTTCGATATTTAGGAATTCTTGCGTGGGTTGATTGAAATGCATTCATCCAGAAGAGAGGTGATAACAATGAGGGCAGCCAGAGGACACCATGAAATGTTGACACCTTGTCTGTAATGGCTCATATATTGTATAAATTCCATATCAACTTCATCTCAAAGCCAGTGGCCACTCTGGAGCATTCCGGGGGAGACACTGTGTACAACATGCTTTTGCTAGTGTTTCTATAGGTGTCAATAATCAGGGCAACCGATCTCCATCCATACTATCCTGAATCTGGTTGAAGACTGAGGTGAAATTCAGAGCAAGTTCTTTTCTTCTGACTGGGAGCTCCCTTACACAGAATATGCTGATGTACCATATATGGGTACAACGAAAACAAGCTTAATGCCGCCTCTTGTTTCTCCCTGCCGTCCTCTATCAGGTGAGGAGAAAGAAGAGGGTCCCTCGCCCAGGGGGACAGTAAGGGTTACAGCTCTCGACCCTGTAGTTAGGGTAAGGGGGAGGTGTAGCCTGTGAGTTCTGTGCGTGGGATGGCACTGTCACAGGCTGGACAGGGTGCCCTATTCTATCAGGTTGATTCAAGGGGAGGACAGGTTGCTTCAAGGGGCTGACTGGCACTGGACAGGCTCTTACAAAGATTGGTCATGCTGTCACTGGCTTGGCTGCACACAAAAGACAAATATTTAAGTGCTAGGGATATTGTAGTGGCCCTAACCATGGAAAGACAAGAGTTAAACTTAATACATACATATGTAATATGAAGAAAACATAAAGCAGAGTATGAAGAAAGCAGGTGAAAGGGGTGTGCCATTTTAGACAGTGGGGTCAGAGAAGGCCTTCCTGAGAAGGTGACTTTTGAGCCAACATAAATTATCAGAAGGAACAAGCTCTGCTAAGATCTGGGGAAAGCATATTGCAGGTTGAGGGAACAGCAAGTAGGAAAATTTGAGGCAGGGGTGTCAGGGCATCTTGAGGAAAGGAGTGTTGTTGTGGCTGGAGCAGCCAAACAGGGAAAGTGGAGGAGAAGATCAGAGGTACCGGGGTCCTTGGAAGGGAGGGTGGGTTTTATTATGGGTGTGATAAGTCACTGGAGGGTTTTGAGCAGGTGAGTGATGTGCTCTGATTGATACTTTTAAAAGATGTATGTGCTGACTAGAGAATAGGTTGTGGGGAGGGTCATGTGGGCAATTCTGGATGCAGGGAGACCAGATAGAAGGCCATGATGGTAATCCAAGTGCAAGCAGACTCTGGCTTGGACAACAAAGACTCATTTACTCCTAAATTCAAGCTACTGCAGGAAATTATACTTAAATTGCATCATCTTGCTCTTAAGAGTCACAAGTGTCAAACGATTTAGGAGACAGTCTTAGGACCAAATGGAAGAAACCCTCAAAAAAGGTAGCATTTGTTTGCAAAGCTCAGGCCCCAAAGACGATATTCCCTTAGACCACTAACAAGGAAGAGCAGTTCACTGTTCTTATGGAATGGTTCAGCCCTTGATACTGGAGCCTGATAGGAGAGGGGAATGCAGGGAGGGGCCCTGGAGGCCCCCACGAGGAAAGCCCCTACCCCTGAGCATAGTGTAGTATTAAGAGTAACCCTGATGAGAGAATTGGCTGGAAGTTAACATCTCTATAGTAATAGTCTGGGGCTGCTGGGGCCTGTGGACCTTAGACCTCATGCTCTTCACCTGCCGCACTGGAATGCACTCCCTTTCCAACGAAAGGTAGGAATTCCTCTCTTATTAGGGACCCCCAACATAAAGTTCTCAACTCTGGCCTCTCAATATAGCCCTGTTCCTGCTCAGAGAGCCCACAGGAAGCTGAGCGGAGGCAGAACATGGGATACGGAAGGGGAGTCCGGAGTCTTTCAATCCCACCTCTGCTGCCCACTAGCTGAGGGCTTTTAGTGTGTTTTTAGTGTGTTCTCATCACCGTTGCTCAGGCCCCTTCAGGTTCCTCATTGCCTTCTTCGATATTCCATCTTTTGTGCAGCCAGTCGCACGCAGCCCCTTGATGGCCCTGTGGTACCCTCTTCCGTGTGCAGCCCTTGGCCAGGAGTCATTTGCATCTCACATACATCCAAGAATGCGCCTCAGCATTGGTTGTTCGTGTGTTGGTTGCACCAGTTCTGCATTCTCCTTTTGGCTGTTGCGTATAAATAGACCATACAGGAATGCATTTTTAATTGGTAGTATCCTGTATTTAACAGAAAGCCTCTAAAACTCCCTTCTCATGCCTTTTTGAAACCTGCCTCTTAACCTGGATTCTTGTATTTGCATCTCATACTCTTCTGCAAATTTGTTGGTATATTTAACAACATGCATTTCCTCAAAATGGTAAGAGGAAAGATTAAATGATTTGACAGTGTCACAATGGAAGATACTGGATCCTCGTGTCACTTTCCTGCTTTGGTAGCTTTGTGACCTTTACGAAGTTATGTTTCAGGAGGCTGTAGACATTCACAGAGTCCTTTCTCCAAATCTGTCTTCACTTTCTCCAGCTCAATGCTAAGGATGTTTCTAGCCAGGACAGGGACTATCTGGGCTTCTTCAGTATTCCCTGAATGGATGTAATTGTGGACTAGTTAATGCTGCTTATCCCCACCTGTGGTGTAGCAGGTTGTTCTAGCTTCATTTCAGGTTTTTCTGGAGAAACGGCTGACCCCTCTTTAGAGGAATGCAGGGCAGGGGGCGGGGGTCGACAAGGCCCATTTCTCTGTGTGCCCATAAGCATTCCCTATTCCTGCTTCCTGGTGACAGATGTGGTGATACCCTATCCTGGATCTAGAAGAATTTATAACTTCCATCTCACTTCATTTTAAATTCAAATGCAGCAGCAGATGAGCCCCATTACTTTATCATTTTCTTGTGGCATTTACTGCATTTACCGTCTATAATACAGCACCTGTCTCTTTTTCTCTCGGTGGATATTATATTGTGTTGTGTTGTATTATATATTAATTATTATATATATTATAATATATTTATATGCCACATAACACACACACATATTTATACATATAAACACGTGTATGTATCTTCATCTACCTCCTGTCAAATTTCTCCTGTACCGCAGACCTCTCCATTTTCACTGAGTCCCGCAACCTAAACTCAGTATGTCCAAAATTGGACTCATCACCCTCCCCATTCGCTGCCCAAGCTTGCTTCTCCTGCATTCCTTATCTGGGTGGAGGGCCTCCCATCTTCTCCGCTCACCAGAACCTTCACGTCATCTTCTTGCTCTCCCTCATCTAATGAATCTCTAAGCCTGTAGATTCTACTTCGTAAGTGCTCGTTAACCTGTTCTTTCTCCCTCCTAGTTAGTTCATTTCTTGCCAAGATTGCTTCAGCAGCCTCCTTGGTGGTTCTTCTGCTTTCAGTCTTCTTCCCCGCTAATATTTCCTACTGCCTATAGAATGCTGTTTCTGAAAGATGACTGTGTTCCTGTCACTTCCCTATTGAGCTGGTTATTCTCTCTGTTTCCGCAGATCCGTTCTCGACCCTTCCCTCCCCTGGGCTTGTATCTATGGGTTGTATCACCTGGGCTTCTTTGCACTCTGGCTTCCCATTGCGTTTGGCCATGAGAGGCACTGTCAGGAAAGCAGGAGAGAGAGGCTAAGATAGCCACACCCTCACCCCTCTGTTCCACCGTGGTTCTTGCAGTGATTGCATTCCGTTAGACTACTGTCACTGGACCCCCAGTAGCTCCAGTAACATTCTGTCCTCCCTTTGCCATTTCAGGTCTAGGGGTGTTGAGGGCTTCCTGCTCATGTTGGTGCCTTATTGTTAATGCCTTAACCCTGCTCACAGCTTCATTGAACTTTTTTCAGTTAAACCCTTTTGAGTGTCAACAGTTTCCTGCTCAGACTTTGATACCTAAAATCCTTCAGTGCCCTGCTTTCAGCATGAAGTCCCCTCTCCTTAATGTAATAGTCACCACTGCTTGTCTCTAGCTGCAGGTGTTGAAATGCCCTCATGTACTCCCTGCACTCCATCCTTGTGAATGGCTGCACCACTTCCCTAATTTCACTCACACCTGTAGTTTTGTACATATTTGCCACGTGCACCCCCTGCCTTCTGTGTTGCTGTCTCCAGCTTAATTCTTCAGTGCTTCATTCACATTTCCTCTTTTCTGGGAAGCTGCCCTCAGTCCTTATCCTCTACTTCACGATTGAAGAAGTGCCTGCTCTTCTTCAATCTGTGCTCTTACAGTGCCCTCCATATAAGAGTATTGACCTTGGACTATAATTTTTGGTCTGTCTCCTGCTGGTTGGAAAGACGGAAGGACTATAATTGCCATGTAGAAGAATTTATTGGTCATAGGACATAAAAACAGTTACCATTGTTCCTGTGAATATAAAAACAAACAAAAATATAAGATTCTGGGCAATTAAATATTTAGGAAATATATTCTCTTTTCCATCTCTCAGTTCCAAGGTGTAAAGCTTTGAAAGAAATGGATTTAATTAAAACTTCTGTGTCAGACTGTTACTGCTACAATCAAAATTCCCAAATGGAGTGGAAATACATATGGTCAACTGTGCAGGTAAGAGCATATTTTTAAATGATGTCTTAGGAACAGGGAATTAAAATGTGCCATTTCAAGAATAAAAAGCAGCTTTTGTATGAGTTAGAGCTGTGTATCAGGACGAAAGCTGATTTGGGATCATGCATAGTGGCTGGCTCAAGGGGAGGGGTTTTTGGGAGGGGACATTAGCTCTCCATGCTCTTCATCAGCCTTTCTCCAAACCACTCAAATAAATATACTGTCTAAGAGCGTACAGTGTGCTTGCTGTTTAGACACAACTCAAGACAACACCATCTCACCTACTTTCCAAAATAATTACTATCCCAAGCCCCTCTGTATAGAAATCCTGAAGTAACCTCTGTTTCCAAGATAGTAGTTACTCTTGATAGCCTAGTACTTTCCCTCATTCAACATTTAACAGATATTTCTTGAGCCAGGAAATTATTCTAGGAAATTATTACTAAGTGCCAGGAATTATTCTAGGCTCTTAGGATACACTAGTGAACAAAACAGATCCCGTTCCTATAATTTTTACACTCTCGGGGGTGAGGGGAGGGTGAGGTAAGACATAAATGTGAAAGAGAAGAAAATTATAAAACTAGTAAGTGCTAAGAAAAAAAAACGTAGAGTGAGATAAATGGAATGAGGGAGATGAGGGGCAAGTTGCAGTATTAAAAAGAATGGTCAGGGTATAGGTGACATTTGAATAAGATTTCAATGAAGCGAGTGAGCTACCCAAGAAGGTATCTGGGGCAAGAGTGTTCTAGACTGCAGGAATGACTAGGGCATCATGTCAGTAGACACGCAATGTTGATTTGTACCTTTGCTGATAATTTATACCCTCTTTGATCACTTGGTAGATGGTATCTGTCATTTTACAGTTTCATCACTGTAAAATGTCTGTTTTCACCTCTATAAGGAATATTTCAGCAGATAATTTGAGACTTTGTAGAAATCCTATTCTTCAAACTTTTATCCCCTTGTTTTATCATTCATTGATGATGATCATCTAAATCAGTTACCATCATGATGTTTATCAGAGGGTGATTTTCCAATTTCATTATTCCTTCTATTATACATTAATTGGCATCCTTCTATAAAGAAGAGTTTTTCCTCCTCCAATTTATTTATATCCACATAGCCTCATGGATTGCCAATTCATTCAGTGGACTACAATCCATTATTTCTATTATTTATTTTGATATTCATATTGTCCTAGATTTGGCCAGTAGGAGCCTCCTTAAATTAGCTTCTGTGGCCTTTGAACTTGTGCCCATCATTTAAGCACTTCTTTACCTCTGGCAAACAAGGTGTCCCAGGCTTACCTTGTAATTTCTTACACCCAGCTCTGGAATCATGCATTTTGCCAACGAGCATTCAGTGTTAGTTGTGTTTATTACTCCTGGGATATCATTGCCATATATGTATACACACACCTATACACCCATACACCTGCACACATCTCTATTTCAATTTTTTTTAGAGACATGAGTTCTGCTANTATGTTTCCCTAAGTATTTCACTAAGCATCCCTAAAAAACAAGAGCATTTTCCTCTATAGTTAAATAACTATTAAAAAATTAATAATTATGTAAAATCATCTGTTACCCAGGCCATGTTTAAATTTTCTAAACATCCTTGATGGTTGGTTTGTATAAGCTAGGATATAGTGCAGAGCCACATTTTGTATCTGTTATGTCCTGTAAGTCTCCTTTAATCTATAACAGTTCTTTTTCATCATGGTGGTATGCCAAAGAGACCAAGCTAGTTGTCCCATAGAATGTTGCACGTTCTGGATTTCTCTGAGTATCCCTTTGTGGTATAATTTAACATGCTCCCTCCTTCGTATTTCCTGTAAACTGGAAACTAGACTTTGAGGCTTGCTTAGAGACAATGAAACACTTTTAGTGGAATACTTAAGAGGTGATGTGCACTGCACATTGGATCATAATGGGAAATGCAGAATATCTTATTGTCCCTCCATTAGTAATCCTGAAACTGAGCACTGGATTACTAGGGTGACAGCCTGATCCCTCCACTGTAAAATTACCTTTTGTTACTGGAAAGTAAAAATAAAAGATAGGGCTTGTAGCAGACTATGACATGCTGAGGCTTATTCCTGACCCAAGCAAACATGATAACATTTGCCCTTCTAGGACTCTGGACTGAAAAATAGACATACATTATAATAATTTATTATTATAAAAGTCAGCCTCATATCTCTCATGGAAGGAATAACTAGCCCTAAGTTCCCTTTTCAGTTTTACTTCATTGGAAAGAGAAAACAGAAATGAAAGTTTTCTGGTNTCTGCTTATGCTTTTAAGAAGCTTTTAAGAAGTTTTAAACTTGTGTTTATGGAGTTATTCATTGTTGTTTTATAGGTGAAAATTACCAGTTCAGGCCTGCTCAGTATTGTATATATCACAGAAAGATATAATTGCCAGTATCCAGAAACCATTCTATCTTTTATCAAATGTGTGTTTCATAAATTTTGGACACCAGAGGAGTCTAATGAAATAACCATAGTTATCAATCCACATGGGGAGACTACATGCTTCTCTGTGAAGCCAGTGAAGAATTATACAATACGTGTGAATCGAAACAGTAAGTCTGTTTTTATTACACTTGACTTTCTGGGCTCAGTTTTTCTGGAGTGACATTTCAGTATGTTTGACTTTCCTCTTTATTCACTAACACTACATTGACACAAAATCTTTGTTTTGTGTATGTGTGTGTGTGTGTTTTTTTTTTTACTCCAGTTGTGGATTTCAGACTCTTCCTTGTGTTTGTGGCAGGCATTTTCCTCTTCTTTTATGCAAAGACCTTGAGTCAGTAAGTATTCATTTTTACTTTCTTAACTTTGAGAATCAAAGAGTATAGGACATTTTTGATGCTATGCTAAATATTCCTACACCAGTTTGTAGTTCTTGCTTCAGGTTTTGCAAACAAGAGGCCTGAAGATTGTGCTTGAAAAGCTCAACCAGTAAGTTATTTGTATTGTATATGTGAATATTACAGAGTGACTTCACATGCATTATTTTGTATTACGTATTAATATACATGATTTTATTTGATTCTCTTACAACTACATGAGCTCTGTATTACTGTTCTTATTTTATAGATGAGAAAACAAACATCTATCATCACATGGCTGGTTCTGGCCCGGGTTGAGATTTATACTCAGCTTCCCTGATGCCAGCCAGATGCCTTCCTCTCTTATGCCTTCCTCTATTACATTCAGGCTGCCTCCTAGATTTGTGACCCTGACACAGAAGGTTGAGTTTAACAAATATCTGAAAAGCATATTATCCTGATATTTTGTTTCTTACAATTTTGCTCGTGGAAAACAAATCTTTCCAATAATATTTTACTTCTTAGCTTACTATTTTTAACATTGTTCGGTTTTGAGCTTTTTCTTGTGTTTAATGTCATCCATCATCCTTATAAACCGGATGTTGCTTTTATAGCGTGAAGAGTAAAGCTTGGACTCACAGGAGCTGGGCTGAAAGCCTGAATCCTCCATTTAGCAGATACTAACTTAGGGAAGGTCTTTAACTTCTCAGTGCCTTAGTTTCTTCTCTTGTAAAATTTAGAAATAGATA